ATATGTTGGTTGTGAAACAGGCTAAATAGATTCATCTCAATAATACAGGGAAGCTATGACATTCTCTCAGTTGGGGTCTCAATATGCCGAAGAGCTTAAGTTTCAAATTCCAACATAAATCTTGCCTATAATGAGAGGAATGTGATCATGACTAATCTTTTAAGTGCTGCAAAAGTAATTTTCTTTGTAATTTATGGTGTCTGTATTGTTTGGTAATCTCTTTTAACAGGATGTATCAAGTAACTAGGGTCAGGCAGTGTTATTCAAACCACCTGTACTGTAAAATGTTACATACATTCACCAGTAGTGGCAATTAGTTTTTTGTGTATGGTGAAACAACATACATGGACATATGTTGTTATAAACTTGTTTGAAAGTTCAAAGAAATGATATTCAAGTACCGAAAAGCTTTCTTACTATCATATCTACAGTAATGTTCAAATGCATCTATGCTGGGCTGAACGAGAGTGCCCCCCCCCCAACAGGGGTGAGATAGTTTACAGAAAACATACAACGTTTACGCTGCTAACCCCACAGTTTATTTGGCACAATAAACAAAAGTACGGCTGCAATGAAACATAAACATAAACTTCAATAAAAATATATTTATGAAACAAAATTAAAATGTTTTTATGTACATACATAAACAAGAAATTCAAGTTAAAAATAAAAATACTCATTTATTGTTTATATTTATTTACAAATATTATTTTTGGGTCTTGTATATTACTGGAATCCATAAGGAGAGTATGCAATTATTAAAAAAATCAAAAATAGATAAAATTTGCATATTAAAGATATTAAAGATCATAATGCAAAAAAACTGAATTTATCAAAGTAACAGGCTTTATGTTTCTTAAATTACATGCATTTATGAAAGTTCTTATGAAGATTCAAACAATTTCATCCACAAGTTTTATTGTTGGAATGAAATATAGCAAGACTTGCATTGGCTACTAAGAAAGTTAGTAGTCAGTGATCATCGGGTTAAAGAAAAAATATACAATTAGTCTACGAATTTATTCACTGGTAAACTACTTGCTTCAAGCAAAGTTCCATTTCAGAAAATCTGTCTATTATGTTTTACTGAAGTGTTTAAAAATTGAAATAATGCTAGGGCAATCAAGTACAATAAGGCATCATTTCAAAAAGAAGAAGACAACATTGAATTCAATATTTAATCCATATTTTTTTTTGCATCTAAACTTATGCTAAAAATGCTACTTAAATGAGAAAGCATCTGAAAAAAGTATATGTCCACAACTTATACCAGTAGATCACTGATTGAGAATATATAAAAAATTCTCACAACTAGAAGTGGCTGATTATTACTAATCAATTAAATGATGAGCTCATTAATCAATTAAATTTAATTAATTGACTATTCCACCTCCCCTGCTAGAAGGTAAAAACAAAACTAGGGTGGGCTAGCTTCATAACTTTGTGAACCACGGCATTATTATACCATGTTCTAACATGATATTAATCTTCTTATTTTCACTTAGTTATGGTTTGTTAAAGTAATTTTCCAATTATCCTTTATTTAATATGACAGAAATCTTCCAA